ATTCTACAGAGATATCATTATTATCAATTTATTGGTTAACAAAAATCTCTTTTCTGGAAATATTTTTTTCATAATATGTACATTCAACTTCAGACTCTTAAATTGTTTTTTCTCTATTATTTTTATTGCTCTATCTTACAACATTTCATCTTGGAAAGTTCTTTAGACTTCATATGGGCCTACATATTAAGAATGATCCTTTTGAAATAATAGTGCTATAAATAATACTATCAAGAAGACAAGACCACATGTAACATGAAACAGGAGCTCAATTTTGCTTTCTCTGTCTACTTCAGCAACCAGGGCAGATGCCACAGTGATCTGCATGTTGATAGATGTGCTTTGTGTCACTACATCATGCAGTGCTTCTTGACAAAAAATTAAGTATAGAAGTATAGAAAAGATCCTGTCCTGAAATTCTTACACAGGCAACTCTGGAATTGACTTAATTGAATGAATAAAATTAAAGGTACAGAACAATTTAACAAAAAACCATACTAATTGCAGACTATATTTACATAATACAAACATTAAAGGAGTTATTTTGCAAGACATTTAGCCCTGTAAAACACTGTGAGAACTAGAAAAAAATGCAACTGAGGTGGTTCTAAAGTTTAATCTATAATAATTTAGTGTCCTTCGATACAGCCCTAGAATATGCAACTGTGAAACTTTGGAACATAGAAAGTACGAACCTGCAAACTTGCAAATGTTTAGAACTGCTCCAGTATCCCCCTGTTGTAAAGTGTTACTTTGTACTAGTTCTAGTGAAAGAGAAAAATATTCCTCATTTGCAGTAGAAGAGATAAAAATTTAATACCTCTGTTTTCAGATAGGAATTTAAATCGCTGAGAATTAATACAACTTCTGCAAGGAAAGTTGCTTCTTATATGCAGCAGCTGGAGACTTCTCTTGAAACCTTGAAATTTCTGAGCAGAAGTTTCTCAAAGTAAAGTATGAAATAGCACATTTAAAAACAAAGCAGCACTCATATGGCTTCTGTATTTTATTTCCCCTGATGACACTATTTTCTTAGGTACTACTAGATACCTGGTGATGAAGCTGCACTGAGACTAGACATTAATCTGTTGCCACATCATAAACAGGTGCCTGAAGTATTAAGAAGGATCTGCACTTTATCTTTAAATGCTACATGACTGCCCAGTACAGCAGTTATGGAGATTCCCAGCTTGAGAGCTTCTTTTAGCACAGTCATTCATTTTTAGCTGTTGTTTAGCAAAAGCTGTGACTACCACTTTCTTTATTCACACCCACCTTATTCCTGATATATCTACAAAATTCTCCAAGTTGCACAACTCATATGGCAATAAATAATCTTTAGGATAATCAACACTACTTGCATATGTAGATAGCTTTCCACACTACTGTTATGTCACTTGGAGGAACCTATTTACACATACTTGTGTAAAGAAACTATTTGCTTTCCTTTATGCATCCACTCTTTTATATTGGAAACCTGCAAGAAGAAAATGTGACTAGTTCACCCAGGTGGATGATACAAAGTAGTGAACAAACACACAAGTTGTTGAACTGTGGGACTAGTGTATAACAGAAGTCACTTAAAGAGAGGCAAGATTACACCACTCATACATATCAGGAAGTATTTTATTCAACTGTTGGTCATTTTAGGTCAGTCTGAAACCCGTAGTCGCAAAGTAACACTTTACTCCACAGGCATTTGTTGATATAAATTGGGCTATCTGTGGAGTAAAATACTGTTCATGAGAAATAAGGGAACTGTAAAGCCCATTGACTTTACTACGTCTTACTATTAAGCTAAGTAAAAAAAATTATTAAGCACTCCTAATAAGAGTGAAAAAACTTGAATCTTATTGAGAAAGAAATTATTTATTTACTTTTAAATATTTATAGAAACCACTGGATGTATCAAGTAATAATATAATATTTAGCATGTATATATATATCTCCATAGATATATAAGTATGTACATATATATATATAAAGTTTTAATAACAGATTCCTGTTAGAGAATTCTACCATTAAACAGTTGCCGAGAAAATGAGAGCAAAGAAATGCAATTCCACTGTACGAATTACATAATGTGAGATTGTTGTGGTTCAGTAATATATCTGTAAAAACTAAAGGGAGTATTGGTTAGAGAACCCTTATGCAATTGTTTACCTTTCGCTTACTGAAGTAATGAAGACAACTGCTTATTTGGATTGGCTAACAAAAAGAGATTATAAAGCAGCCGTTTAGATTCTCTTTCTTTTTTTTTTTTTTCCCCCACCGGCTACACCTTTGATTCCTAACTGTGCAATCTACATATGCAGACACAGGTTTCCTGGAGTGATTAAGGATATAGTAGACCCAGAGAGAGGGCTGATCCTTTACTATTTCTCCTTAAGTCTGCAGTTTAAATTTTACATGAGGCAGAAGTACAGGACCAGACATAAAATAGTGTCTACATTCTAAATGCAAATTTTATATCAAATTTACTCCAGGGATGTGGAGATGGAGAATACTAAATGTATTTTAGTAATACAAAACTATGGAGAAGATGATCAATTTTCCTATCTAGCTACTTTAAATCTGAGCCAGTTCTAAATAGAAGCCAAGAACACTGTTTCATACTGTGTATGTTTTGCCAATACAACTACAAACTATAGCATCAATAAGTATGTTTGAACACACTGTTCACTAGGTAAAACTGAATGCTTTCTAATCTACTGACTGAACCATCTATACATCCAAAACACTCTGTGTAGATATTGAGGGAAAGCAAAACCAATATTAGATATACCAGTACGTGCTATGAGGAGTTACAGTTAACATTTTCCATAGTTCTCATAATGAAAACTCTTACAGAGACCACAACACACTTTTCAAGGGAGGAAATTCCTCTTTTAGCTTTATATAGATCTCGGGGCGGGGGGGCGGGGGGAAATCATGATTGATATTACACAGTGAACACTGTAAAAAAAAAAAAAAAGGAATCATGTTTTCCATAGGGATTTTACACTACACTTGAAAGTTTACTATTCAGTAGCATCAATACATTAATTAATTGCTTTATATAGACATTACATGGTTGTAGGAAATTATAATTTTCTGTCTTTTAGTAACCATTATGCTTGTCAGTAGGGAAAAAAATGTGGAGGGTTTTTTTTTAGCATTCTGACAACTCCATTTTACAGTAAAAAAAAAAGTTGACATTACTTAAACAAGTGTCATTGAAAGTTATTTGTTTTTTAAAGCATGAATAATAAATCAAATTATCTCTGGTTGTGCCCTAACCTAAACTCTTTTCTAAAGTGTCACTTTTTGTTAAAATCAATTTCAGATTTTAAGTATTGCTCTACTCACCTAATTGATAGCAACACAAATTCATGATAGGCGTAAAATGGAATTGTTTCTGTGACACAACTCAGTAGTGGGTTGAGGATTAGTTTGCAGTGACCTCGTACAGGCAGCCTTTTTTTTTTTCTTTCTTTCTTTTTTTCTTTTTTTTTCTCATTTATAAATGTTCCATTCATAGGCCATCAGTTACTTGAATTCTGGTTCTTTAACCTGCCAATTACTGATGGTCATTTCTATTCAGTTCAAAGTATTAGGTACAGCTGGCATCTAGAACACTTGGTGTCCACAGATCACAGGGTATGATAATTCCAAGGTATTATGAATCTTCTTTAGGTACATTGAGTGACTACAGTGCGAATTCTTTCCCACTAGCTGCATACACAAAATGAGTCTGTGTCACTTCTGATACACTCAGCTCATTCCCCTATGACTCAGAACAGCATATTAGGAGAACCACAGGATAAAAGAGATATGACATTTCAAATATATTTAATAGCCATTATCCAGAGCCTGCTTTCAATCCAAATGTTAAAAATCACTTTGGAACATACCTGTAGTGTTTGAACATTAAGCTGCATTAATCATGAAGTAATACTTTAAATTAAATCAACTGGAGCCAAATTCTGCCCTCATCTTCACTCTGCAAGTTCACTGCTCTGAAATAAATCTTCTGAGCTTGGACTTTAAACTACCTGCTAAAAATTAAGTCATTCTTTAATTAGCACCCTATGTCCAATGGTCCAAATTCTGCCATTTCTCACATTCACAAAAGTCAGTAGAGGACAGTGTGGATATAACTGGCAGTAGAATGCAGCCCAGCTATAATTTCTAAATGAACTTTGGTAGAAGACAGAGCACACAAGTCTTTTGCTATAAAGCAATCATCAATATTGACTCAGGCTGCTGGAAATCTGACTAGTTGTTTTGCTGGTTTATGACAGGATGTGAGTTTGTTAACATTCAGGGGTAGGAGGGAATCACCACATACATCTTCTTTCTATTTATCTAAGCAGAATTTTTATCACTGAAGGTTGTTTTGGGGGAGAGGAGGAGGCAATGAGGCCCCTACAATACCATCAAAAATATATTTATGGATATATATTCTGAAGAAGGAAATTAAAAAAAAAATTAAACCATACATCTTGGAAATATAGCTTACATATATATACAAGATTGGAGGGCTATGATACGCTATTGCAATAGCTGTCCTCAGTGTGTAAAGTTTATCCCCTGTCCTGTTTGTTACCTCAGATAATATGACCACTTCAGAAATGCCCTCCCTCTTCTCCACCCCAAACCAAAAAAAGTGAAACCTATGGAAGTGCCCACCTCTGTCTGACAGTCTTCTGGGAAAATACACCAGCGTGCCCCAAATGTACTAAAAGCCTGTCCCCACTCTCACTTGCACTGCTTTGGCATTGCCTTAACTATGTGTGTTTCAGTGGGTATTTTCTTTTGAATCGCATGGGAAACATCAGTGTGACAGTAGAGCCAGACCCACCAGATGTGATCTGATTTCACTTTCATTAAGTCCACCTCTCTTAAGTGACTTGTGTTGGTCCCTTCAGTGGTGCGTTACAGCAGATTTCACTGCAGACAAAAGGGAAAATTAAACCAGTGTCTAAAGTGAGATCCAGGGTATTCTAAAAGTCTCCTACCTGAATTATGGACATCCGGCTCGGGGGAGCCTCGCTGGCGTTAGTCCCTTGCCCTGTGAAGCTGGTGTGGCAGCCCACATGTCCCTGGGGTACAGTCAGGTTGTTGGAGGCAGGCTTCAGGTACATCACCTCGGACCTGGGAGAGCTGAGGGGCAGGCGGGTCTGGTAGTCAAAGTACATGGGTGAGGTGGCCAGGGATGGGCTGCTCACCACGTTCATGACATTGAGGGGACCCCGGCTGTCCTCGCCCTCACTGGGCACCAGCATAATGTCATTCTTGCTGATCTTCTTCTTCTTGCCCTTGCCCCCTCCACTGCCACTGCCTCCTCCTCCCCCGCCACTGCCTCCCCCTCCTCCCAGCTGAGGGTGGCTATACTCGGCAATGCGACAATTATAGGTGCGGATCTCCTTGTTTTCTCGCTTGCACTTCACAGCAATAGTGATCATGGCAGCCAGCAAGATGATGGAGACAGTGCTCAGCGTCACGATAAGGGGCAGCGACAAGTCCCAGTGCGGTCGCCGGTGCTGCTCACCATTCACCTGCGGCTCACCAGCCTCGGGCAGGGGCCCTGCCAAGGCCCTGACTATGAGCTTGGCCACTGCAGAGAGGCTGGGCTTGCCATGGTCACTGACTTTTACCACCAGTTCAGCCACAGGGCTGAGCTCCTCCCAGTAGGGATGCAAGGTGCGTATCTCACCACTAGTGGGGTCCATCTCAAAGAGGTGCTCCTCATTGCCTTCCACAATCTCATATGTGAGGCGCCCACTCTCCCCAAAGTCACTGTCCAGGGCACGGACGGTGCCCACAGGGTAGCCCACCCCAGCATTGCGTGGTACCTGCAGCTCAGCAGTGTCATTGATGAGGGCAGGTAGGACAATGAGGGGCGCGTTATCATTGACATCGAGCACGGTAACACGCACTGTGGCGTTGCTTTCACGGTGGGGTGAACCGGAGTCTTTGGCCAGCACACGGAACTCAAAGTGCTTTGTCTGCTCGTAGTTGAAGCTCCTCAGGGCATAGATAGCACCATTTGTAGGGTTGACAGAGACATAGGTGTAGATGGAGACATCTCCCACATGCCCAGGCAAAATGGAGTAAGACACCGTCCCATTTTGGCCCAGGTCAGGGTCCTGGGCCAAGACTGAGCCCAAGTACTCTCCGGGGATGTTGTTCTCAGGCACCTGTAAGACATAAAGGTTCTTGCTGAAGCGGGGTGGGTTGTCATTCTCATCAAGGATACGGACGGAAAATGACTTGGTGGAGTTAAGTGGGGGATTGCCCCCATCACGTGCCACGATGGTCACATTGTACTCATCTTGTGCCTCACGGTCTAGAGGTCGGTCAGTGACCACAGTGTAGAAGTTGTCATAGTTCTCCTCCAGGGTGAAAGGAACGGCACCGGGCCCGCCGCCACCGCCCAGCACCCGACACTGGAGCTGCCCATTCTTTCCTGAGTCACGGTCAGTGACCCGCACCAGGGCAATGACAGTGCCTGGTGGGGCAGCCTCACTCAGTGCTCCCTGGCGAACAGAGACAAAGCCAATGGTGGGAGCATTGTCATTGCGGTCAATGAGGCGGACAGTGACCTTGCAGTGAGCGGGGATGGGATTGGGCCCCAGGTCCCGAGCTTGGACATCAATCTCAATGAGGCCGCTCTCCTCATAGTCCAGGTTGCCTTTGACACGGATGAGGCCGCTCTGTGGGTCGATGCTAAACAGGTCACGGACGCGTTCAGGTGCATAGCCACTGAAGGAGTAGAGCACCTCTCCATTGGTACCCTCATCAGCATCAGTGGCATTGAGGTCAATGACAGCAGTGCCTAGCGGTGCATTCTCCGGCAGCTCTACCACGTAGGAGGCTGCCTCAAAGATGGGGCTGTTGTCATTGGAGTCAATGAGGCGCACATTGATCTGCACCGTGCCTGAACGCGGTGGGTCGCCGCCGTCCAGTGCCGTCAGTACCAGGGTGTGGTGACTCTGCTCCTCACGGTCTAATGGCTTCTGGATGACCAGCTCTGGAAACTTTGTGCCATCACCACGGGACTTCACATCGAGGGAGAAGAGTCCATAGTCATCACGGGTGAGCAGGTAGGTGCGCAGACCGTTGTCCCCAGCATCTGGGTCGTGGGCACTGGTGAGGGGGAAGCGAGTGCCTGGTGCAGCGTTTTCCGAGATGTCCATATCCACTTGGTCAGAGGGGAAGGATGGTGCGTTGTCATTCAGGTCCTGAATCTCCACTTTGATCATGCAGATCTCCTGGTCGTTGGCAAACACCTCGAGGGACAACTGGCACTTGGCGCTGCGCCTGCACAGTGCCTCACGGTCGATGCGCTGTTTGGTGTAGAGCAGCCCGCTCTCTCCGTCCACGTCCAGGAGGTGCGGGGCTGAGTTCTCCAGGACCCGGAAGGTGGACTTCGGGCCGCGGCCGCCACCGGGAGCGCCACGCTCCGCAGGCAGCATCCCGCCTCCCCCCGTGCCTGCCGCCAGCCGAGCATCGCGCCCGATGTTCCCGATGACCGTGCCCGCTCCCTGCTCTTCTGGCACGGAGTAATTCAGGTTCTTCAGCGACAGGGCGGGAGCCCAGAAGAAGAAGAAGCAACAAATGGAAAGGTACATCCCCGAGCGGGGGGTGGGGGTGGCAGGGACTGCAGCGACGACCAGGGTTGTCCCCGTCTTCTTTGCCTCCTGAGCTGGGGTTGTTCTTCCTCCTCCGACCGCTCTTTTTTTTTTTTTTTTTCTTCCTTTTTCTTTTTTTTTTCCTTCTCTCTCCCCACCCCTATATTTCAAGTTCCTGAACCTGTTGCTCTAAAACGTCTGCAGAGACACAGGATGGGAGGCAGCAAATAGACCATGTAGCTCAGAGGGAGGGAGCAATCGGGGGAGGGGGGGGTGGGCTGAGGGGAGGGAGGGAACTGCTTCGGCAGCGTTTCAGCAAGCGCTTGCCGTGCTTGCAGTCCCCTCGCAGTTACTTCGACTGTCCAACTTCTGCAGTGGGAGGGTTTCAAAAATCAGAAAATTTGCAAAAGATCTTCTCCTCCGGGCGGGTGATGTGTTCTTGATCCTTGAATCCCCGCAGATATACAAAGGATAATAAAAATAATAACAATAATAAAAAAATCGGTGGCAGTAGTTGTCTGGGGTTTTTTTAAATCAAAAATATTTTTCTTAAATATGTGTATTTATATATACATAGAAAAGGAGGGTGGTCACAAGTCTGTAGGAAGAGATAAAAAAGCTTATTTGCTACTCATCGCTTGTGATGTGATTGATGGAGTGGAGGGGTAGGAGAGAGACAGAAGGGAAAAAAAAAAGTCTCAGCTTGTTGTTGAAGCCCTCTTCGTGTGCAGTGAGAGGTAGTGAAATGTCTGATTGCACCGCGGGGTTGTTGGTTTTCAGGGAGTGTTTTGCTGCATTTAGAGATCTAATCTTGCATTGCTTGCGGCGGAGAGCTGCATCTCGCTGCCATCGGTATTTCCCCCCTCTCTGTCTCGTACACCCTCACTGTTTCCTTCCCGAATCAAAGGGAGTGGGAACGAGGACTGCAGGGCAAGAGGGGAAAACAAAACACATGAAAAAAAAAAAAACCACACACACAACAGAAAAACCCCCACCAAAAACAAACAAAAAACCCAGACATCCCCTGCCCCCCTCCCCCCTAGAAAAAAACTAGTGTCCGGATTTGTAGTTTCCTTTCTCTTCTCTTACTACCAGCCTCCCACTCGTCCTTTTGGGGCGAAAAAAATTAAGAAACCCACCATTTGACCTTCATCATTAACAGTAAATATGTATTTTGAGAGAAAGCTCAGGCCGTGCTCTATCAGCAGCACATTTGGGTTTCTTTAAGACAGGCCAGTAGCCGCCGCCACTACCACATCCTTTCTCTCTGTGTATCTATGCGTGTGTGCGTATGCGTGTCTGAGGAGCTGCACTTTCTCGATGCAGTTTAATGCCAGTTTGCTATTCTCTCCAGCCGAGAGGAAAGCAACAGGCAACCCATGGCTGGACGCATAGATTAAAAAAAAAAAAAAAAAAAGAAAAGAAGGGGGGGCTGCGGGGGAGAGAAAGAAAAGCACACACACACACACACACACACACACACACACACACACACTCTTTCTTAGTCTCTCGCTAAAAGGGAAACAGTCTATGTATTCACAGGGCTGCACTATCAAGTGCCTCTCTTTTCTTTCTATTCAGCGTCTCCTTCCAATGACACTGCCGCCTAGTCCTCTTCATTTAGGGTAAGGGAGAAGAGGAAAAACAATCCTGGCGATGAATAAAGTGGGAGATCTTTTTATCGACTAATTCGCTTGCATTAAAACCTATGCAGTTCCGCGATCTGTGTGATGCATTTTTTGCAGTCCTTTCAAAGCTTTAACAGTCTCTCTGGGCATCTTGGTACAGGAGAGAAGAGCGGCGGCAACCCCAGATGCGTTGCCCCTCTCCGATAAACACCTTTCCCAGCGATACAGTGTATAGGTAAATACTGGGGAAGGGTAGCAAAATTTTATTTCAAGTGCTTTTAACAACCTGAAATAAATGAATGTCAAATCCAGAAATGCAGGTGTTTCAATCTGCTTGGATGAGTCAGATCCAGCGGAACAAATCACATTCACTATCGCCTCATGTTCCTCCCTTCACAGGCATTAGTTGCAGTTTCTTCCTAACGTTTCTCTGACTCACTCTATAGACAGGAAAAAAATTAATCAGATTTATATTTTGGAGAGGGGGAGGGAAGAAAGGAGGAAAAAAAAAAAAAAAAAAAAGGAGGGGGGTGTCGGATCCAGCTACACTTTTACTATACCTCTTTCTCCAGGAGACTGAGGATCAGGAAAACAAGGCTGTTATCCACTCACTGGCATAGAGGCGCGTCTGATTCCTGCTTTGCTGAGTGTTTTTAACCACCTTTCCTCAGTGTTATGTGTGAAATAAATCAGAAATCTTTCAAATTAAAAGAAAAAAAACCAATAAAAATATAGGTTCCCAATACATTGCTCACAGATCTAGTTCCGAGTCTCAGTTCTGCACCGTTTTTTTCTCCTTTATTTGAGTCCGGACCCAAAGTACACAGTTAATTCTGCAACGTGTGGTAGGGAGGCTTTCAAACGAAAAAGAAGAAAAAACAAATATTCTTCTCTGCCTCATTGATTGGTGGCCACTTGCAAACAGACGGTCGCCAGTCTTAGCCAGGCAGCACGCGGAGCGAACGCCGATTCCAGATAAACCAGATCCATTTCACCAGCCAGCCGCCCGCAGGTAAGTGGAGAATTCAGAGAAAATTCAACAGTTGGAGCGCGCTTTGCTTTGCTTTGCCTCGCGCGCTCCCTCTCTCTCTCTCTCTCTCTCTCTCTCTCTCTCGCTCGCTCTCCCTCTCCCTCTCCCTCCCCCCCCGCCCCTCTCCGCCTCGCCTCCCTCACTGCAGCACTCGCGGGGCCGCCGCGCCGCGCCGCGCTCGCCCAGCGCCGCTCTCCGACTGCCGCTATTCACCTCACGCCGCCGCTTAAACATTGATACGGATTCAGCGCCAGCCAATCGGCGGCGGTGGCGGCGCCCGGCCCCGCCACGCACCGGCCAATGGGCGGGCGGCGGGCGGGCGGGGGGCGTGGCCGCGGCGGGCGCTGGGTGTCATTGATTAGCTCGGCGCGGAGGGGGACGCGCAGCGCGCCCGCGGCCCGGCCGGGCGGGCGGACGGCCGGACGGGGTGGATGGATGTGGGGTCTCGCCGACGCGCCCCGCAGCGCCACCCGTTCCTTCCCCTCCTCCCCGCCCCGGCCTCTCCCGGCTCCGCGTTAGTTATTTATTTACATCTATGTCTCCCCCCCGGCCGCTTTTTTTTTTTTTTTTTTTTTTTTTGGAAACGTATTAACAAGTCTTCCGTGTTGACGGGTGGGAAAGGAAGGGGTACGCGACACCCCCCGAACTCGCCCAAAGCGCTACGAGGGTGAGGATTTGGCTCCGCTGCGCGGTCCCCGAGCTCCCCGGGGACCCGCCGCCCCGAGGATGTGTGGCGGGAGGGGTGTGTGTGGACGGGGACAACCCCCCGCCGTCTCTCCGCCCTGGCCCTGCGGAGCCCCCAGAGGGTCTCCCCTCCCCGAGGGGCAGGTCCCGAGTGCAGGAGCATCCCCCGCCTGCCCAGGGGGCCGCGGCGCGGGGCAGCCCCGGGTGAGGGGCCGGGGTCCGCAGCAGCATTCCCCGCTCCTCTCCCCGCCCGAAGCGGCGCGGCAGGATGCTCCCGGCCGGGGGCAGTGGTTGCGGGGGGAGGACCGAGGCTGGAAAGGGCCGTGCTCGGATTGCCGGAGCGCCGGTCTCGACCCGTGCGTACCGACATGAAGCTGCCATTTGTGACCAGCGTGTAAGTAGCAAGAATCATTTAGGGGGAAAGGAAAAAAAAAAAAAGGAAAAATAAATAATTAAAAAAAAAGGAAAATATACTCTGTAGCACTTATAAGACGCTCCTGAATTATTTTAGGAGCGTCTCTTAAAAGATTCAGTTAAGGCAGCTGCTACTTTGCCTTGCTCAGTAGGATAACCTTCAGCCCTGAGTTATTATGTCCATAAATATCATTTGACTTGGAAAAAGTCTGGCAGATTTATAAATTCAAATCAGCGTTCTTTCCAGACCCATCTTCCCGTCCTGAGGAGCTCTTTGTAGCTGTGAAACGGATAGTTTGCCACACAGAGCAAGTCTGCTGTTAACCGTTATAGAACTAATGCCCTGTTAAAATGCAGTGTATAAATAAACTATACATACATTAGCGGCAGAGGAAAACCACTACTCTCAGACGTGCCAACTTTCTGTGTGAGAGCGACAGACAGACGAAATAAAGGATATGTTTACAAAACGGGCTTTGCTTTCTGCATGAGGGCTTCAGATTGGCTGACGAAAATTGGCGTGTTTGGCTAAGTCACATATATGGAGAAGTTCCCTATAAAAGCAGCACAGTATTTAAAGTTTAACAAACAGCAGCATAAGCCCCTGAGCTATAGGAGACCTCGTTTGACTGTAACTCGAGTCCTATGCTTTCCTCTCCTTATTCTGTAGCCTTCTGCCAAACATTCAAGATGTCTCAGGATGTCCAGCGATTTTAGCACGCCAGTTCTGCTAATTATGGGGGGGGGGGGGAAGGGTCATTGCAATTATGTAATGGCTCCCTCTAGCGTGCTAGAGATACTGCTGCATCTGGGGTATATACTTTGTGTATGCATCCTGTGGTGTGTGTATATATACACAGATATACAAACTGTGGGGTATACACTTCGCCTAAGTGTGTACACATATGGTAATTCTAGTTTCCTTTCAGAGCAGGAGAGCACCAGCATGAAAAAAAAATGTTTTGTAGTACGGTGGCATATACTATGTAATATATTTCTGATAATATTTCTCATGGTTTACTTAGTTTAAAAAAAAATCAAACTCATAACCCAGGATGAATTTGACATTTTGTTTGAGGAGGCTAGTGTCTCTATCACTTTTTTTCTCCACCCTAGCGAATACTTTTTTTTTTTTTTTTTATATGACTCAGCATTACACAATAAATACTGACTCCACAATGAAGTCAATACATTTGAGGGCACTATGCAGTTTGTAAAACAAGAACTCAGGACTCTGAATTAAGAGAGAAACTATATAACCCTTTATAAAAGTAACTGGAGTCTTTGCTTGTAAAATCTGCCTTTTTATCAAACATCTTGCAGCTTACAACATCCCATTGATACCAACAACATACATGGAATACTTAGAGGAAAAATGAAATCTGAAGCACTAGCACTGGATCTTCAAACCTATGACTGACTGCCAGGTGATGATGATAAATGAAACTCTTACGCTTTGCTCTACAAGTCACTGTGGTTTTTGCTCTTAACTTCAGCAGAGCTGCATTTTAGTACTCATTTCTATGTATGGCTAATTATTAGCTATTTCTAATGATTTCTTGGAAATCATATCATCTTGGTATCTTTAAAAATTGTAGCTCTTAAACCCAGTAGGTGCCTTAGGTGGAGTAAGACTTAGGTGCCTTACTGGAAAGTGCCACATACAAAATGTGCTTGCATATGAATATATGCCTCTGTCAGGCTGATGGTTGTTACATCAGACAGTTTGTAACAACAAAATGGCATTTATTGATTTTAATCCACCTGTGCTAGTAATGAATATTTTATTTGCATGATGATTTTACAGTATATCTAAAATACTTTTTCTGTCAAATTTGTAGCACAATGTATTTGGTAGCTTAGACAGGCATCATAATTTTATATACATTCATCAGCCAAAAATGAAATGTATGAAGGTAAGGCAAATGCATGCCAATAATACCTATATGCTGTGTCACGTCACTATATATTGAATACTTAGTGTATATTTATTGCTGAAAAAATGAAACAAAATAAAAACAGAATTAAAAGTGCTTATTAACAGCTTGGTATGAAAGCTGGACTGTAGAGAGACTAATACATAGACAAAATGCAAATCTTTAATAACAGAAATACACATATAGAAAACTTACACTGTCTGACAAATCAAGAAAAACACATTAAATACTCTGTATAGGAGAAGTTCAACAGTGAAGCAAAGTCCAATATAACAGCCCTAGCAATTAATTATATAGGAAGCAGTTAAAATATGCTTTGGAATACTACTTTTCAATACTGAAATGTTTATTTATTGGAAGCTATAGTTTGACATCATCCAAAATAACAGATAGTAACAGGACACATCTCCAAATTAATTTTTTTTTTAAATACTGATTTATTGCAAACACAACAGTATTCAGTCTATTTTGGGCAAGTGATCATGGTAAAATCCAGTTCTTTATTATTCTATTCTCAGCAAGGACAGACAGATAAACCTCTATGTTGAAATGAAAATCTTTAGTCCCAGTGTGAAGGGTGCTTAAGCAAAGCTCCAGAAGTCTCAGAACAAATATCCCTAAACAACTAAAAGAAAACAGGGAGGCAAGGAACAGATCAATATAGTTAAATGTCAAGGTTCAGTATTTAGGTTATTTGAGCCTAAAATGTATCACTTTGAAAGCCCAAATCCAATCACCTTGAAAACAATAGAAAGAAGTAAAATTAGAAAGGCCAAGGAGCAAATTTGAGGAAACCATATATAAGAGAATGAATTATCTACTAATAAATAAACATACTTTACCAATATGAAGAAGCCACGACAAAACTGTTGGGCCTATTGATTAATCAGCTATAAAAGAAAAAAAAAATAAAGCAGAGAACTTATGTTTCTATACTCTAGTATTCCTAACAAATGAAACAAACTCATTTCCTCCAGTCAACTCTAGTTTAGTAAAAAAGATGAGATGTGGGTGTGTACCGGGGTGTACACTGGTGAGATTCTTAAAGAGCAAAAAGCATCTAACTAAATGGTAGTCATCAAGCATTCTTACAGAATCTGAAAATGAGGTAAATGAACTGTTAAAAATATGCAGTCATTAAGATCAGTTACTATGTCTGAGGATTAAAACATACAAAATCATTTCTCTTTTAAAAAGACTAAAAGAGTTTTCAAGGAATGATGGTGTGGCAAGCTTTACTTTTAGTAGCAGTAGTATAAAATTTGTTAAAATGACAATTAAAAATAGAAATGTGAGAGAATACTGTCCAGAAGCTCAATGAAATCAATAGAAACCTTTCCACTGATTTGATTCATAAATTTGATTCCATAATAGCAAAGTAGTACAACTTACATAGGTTAAAGGGACATTTCTTCTGTTTATAGTATTTTTTCAAAGTAGTAATAGAATAACTGTCACTCTGTATGTGAGCAGTTTTATGTCAATTTAATTGTGAGTTCACACGAGCAAGACATGTAGAAGAGACAGTTGCTGAGAAAGGGAATACAAAATAACAGTGCAGTAGGTAAAGGCAAGAGAGGGTAAGTGTCCGCAAATGATATTAGTGTACTAATGGGAGGACAGGGGCCAAGAAAAGAGAAGAGTAGGAAAAGGGTTCCAAAGCAGGGCGCAGGGCTGTTTAAAAGGCTTCAGGCAAACGGAATTAGTAAGTAGGAGCTAAGCTTGAGATTGTCACCAAAAGAGGTGATACCTACAGCTTATATCTAGCTGGGAATATTATGTTTACAGTTGTATCTTTGTCATTTTGGAAATGCTAACAAACAACCACAATGATTCATAAGGATTACAGGAAGGGTGACTTTAAGGCCACAGGTAAGGTCTTAGGACTTGTATTCTCATTACTCTTTTCAGCCACATTATTTGATGACTGTTTATCACAAAATGCAGAAATATTTTTTGCTTTTTTTATTACAATGAAAACAGGACACACTGAGATCAAGCCCAGCGTGATTCAAACAGACTAAATAGAAGTTTTC